AATGGTTCGAGTTAATTACACAATACTACTTACACAGTATTAGACAATAATACTGTTCCAGCTTACATGCAAATTCAACTTAAGGACAGACCTTGGGAATGGAACCCATTCTTAAACTGGGGACTACCTGTAGTTTCAGAAAGACATCTTTATGGGAAATTATTTTACTCCCAAATTGCTATCTTGCAAAATATTCATGAGGGCATTACTACTTTGGATTTGTAGTCCCCAGCAAAAACAAAAAGAATACTGGATTCCAGATACATGGCATTAAAGTGATGCATTCGTTTCAAATGTCTTGAGAACATTTCATAAAAATACTATTCAACCATAAAAAAGAAGCAAGATGAGTTAACAGAAGTGGGGGAGTTACATACTTTTTATGATGTATTTCTCTATTAATACTCAAGATCTATTATAAACACTTTGTCTCACTATTTAGATTTATGGATTTAAAATAAGATCCAGACGAATTCCTAAGAAAATGCAACTGTTACAGTCATTCTCAGGAATCTGATGGTTATTTACTGGATACTATTTTTAATACTAAGATTTAATAATCTATATACTGTACTCAAGGAAGTAGAATACAGCCAAAAGACACATTTCTGTCGCATAAATGGAAAAAAATATTGTAGCAAATCTCTATCTTAAATAAAGTAAAAATGGGCCAAAAGTAACAAAATAAAATTTAATAAGCATAAATACAAACTTCTTCACTTAGCAAAAGGAAATCAAATGACAAACATAAAATGAGACATACCCAGTTTAGTAATGATACAAAATAATCTTGGAATTAGTAGTGCACTCTAAGCAGAATATAGGTCAGCAGTATGATGTGGTTGCAAAAAAAGACAAATGCAGTTTTAAGCTACATAAATATCGTTTTCATGTCACAAGAACGAACTCCCTCACCCCCATCCCACACATTCTGCAGTGCTCAGCCTATTTTGAGCACTGCATCCAATTCTGGACACCATTTTTTAAAAATTGTTTTTAGGGCTCTTCACCATTTCCCTGTCAGGAACATCCCTAAATTTGAAATCGGGACTTCAGCATGCAGCAAGTAGTTTCACAAATTTATGTTGCCACTTCCAGTGCCACATCTGGTGCAAAGAGGAGATGGAAGACTGTCTCGTTATTGATGCATTTACTCATGGATAAGACTCTTAAGTTTCAAACCAGATTTTTTGGGGGGAGGGGCATATACTTGTCATATTAGAAGTCCATCCAATGCAAGTTTGCAGAGGCAAGTTCTACTATGTTCAGAAGTATTCACTCCCCCGTGATCTGAACTTGTAAACATGCAAAATAAAAAGCCAGTGCAACAGAACCTGAGAAGGGCCCCATGGCTGGATCAAATCAAGGCCCCTGCCGCCCACCGTTCCATATCCCACTGCAACCAAGATGCTTTCAGCAAGTGCACTGTTACTCCCTAGCAACTGGGATTCGAGGCTAGTTGCCGCAGGTAGCTCAGTCTTCCATGAATTTGTCTAATCTCCTTTTAAGACCATCTGATGGTGGTGGCCAAATCCAAATTCCATGGCTGATGGTAGCAAATGCTGTGATTGAGCTGCTATATATAAAGTACTTCCTTCCATCGTCCTGAATCTCCCCACACTTAGTTGTAACAAATGAACTTGGGCTCTATCCTTGGCAGGAAAAAGGTTTTCCTATCCACATTTTTCATGTCATACAGTTTTCTACAGCTCTATGATATCTTTCCTTATCTTCCTTCACTCAAGCTGAGGGTCCTAAATGATGAAGACTTTGTAGGAAAGCTGGTTTAGCCCGTTAATCATTTCATTTGGTTTTTTTCTAGTTCTATAATATTGTTTTCCAGGCATAGCAATCAGAACTGAATATAACATTCCAAGTGCGTAATTTTTTATAAGGATAGATAGGCTGTTATATTTTTAATTCCTTCTTTAATGATTAC